GAAGGCACCTGGCCTGGAGGAAGGCTCTGGCTTTGTTATATTTATTATCGGAAGCCCTGGAGGTGCAATAGCTAATGGGCTCAGCTGCTAACTAAAAGATTGGGGGTTCAAGTCTACCCGGAGGCACGCAGGAAGAAAGGCCTGGCAATCTCCTTCTGGCAGCTGAGCCATGAAGCCTGGGGAGCTCAGCTCTGCTCCGACACACGGGGGTGACCACGAGTCGGAGCTGACTTGATGACAACGGTCTTCCTGTTTTTGCTCTCGTGGTATTCAGCACAGAGAGTTACAGTTAGGAAAAAGGGACTCTACGGACAAAAGGAAAAGGGCAGAGTGTGGGGCGAGGAAGACAGACACCTCTTTGCCTATCTGTTGAGAAGGAGGATGGGGCGGTGCTGGATGGAAGGGGCAGGGTTCTTGCCCTCCACACGAGACACCCCGGTTCAGTTCCTGGCCAGGGCACCTCACGTGTAGCCACGGCCATCCAAGCACACAGGCTGGGGGTTTCTGTGAGGCTGAATGGGTTTCAGCAGAGCATCCAGACTAAGGTAGACTAGGAACCTAGGCCTGGCGCTTCTGAAAATCAGGCCATGGAAGCCCCATGGACCTGTAACCAATCATGTGGACATCACAGGACCAGGCCACGGTTTGCTCCTGCTGTGCATGGGGTCACCACGAGTCGGGGGCCGACTCCACCACAGCCAACAGCAGCCACCATTGGCAAACTCCCATGAAGGGTGTAGACTGGAAATTCTCACCCGATAACTGGTTTCTGACTTTCTGAAGGCTTTGAAGACAGAATACCTGACCCTGAAGGAGTGTCTCTCGAAGGCAAACCCTCCAAGGTGGTGCCATTTGCAAAGTTGGTCATTCATTCATTCATTCATGTGTTCAGTGGTCGAGATCAAGGAGTTTAAGCAAAACAACCTGGAATCCAGTCCTAGTCTCATCTTGTGCGGCTTTGGACAACTCACTGTTCCTCTCTCAGCCTCAGATTCTCGAGTATGAAACGGAACGAGTAATAGCACCACCTCCAAGGTCGTCAGGATCGGTCCTGACTGTTCACATGGGGCATTTAGCATGTGTCTGGCACGTGGGGTCTGTGAGGTTCCCGGTTACTATCATTTCACTATCACGATTCCTAGCATGATTATTTTAACTTAGTTAACAGAATTTCAAGCCCTTCATGAAACCCTGCATGAGCTGTTGGCTTTGACGGGTTACCACCATTTGGCATGGAGCTGATTCCAACTCATGGCCAGTCCGCGTGTCAGAGCAGAACCGTGCTCCACAGGGTTTTCAGCGGCTGAGTGTTTGGAAGTGGATCACCAGAACTTTCTTCTGCCTCTGGATGGACTTGAACCTCCAACCTTTCAGTGCATCAACCATTTGCCTCCCAAAGGACCCATCATAAATATGACTTCCCCTTTCACAGCCTCTTCTTCCCGTGCTAGGAAATCTCAGTGAGGCAAACGGAATCGACTTCATGGAGCCTTGTCCAAGGACACTTAAGAAATAGATTACGGGGGTGGTGGAGGGTTCAGGAGGGAGATAACAGCAATCTGAAGCTAAGCAAACCTCACAGTTTAAGAAATTTTCTTAAAATTTTTCTCTTTGACCCTGACGATGGCAACTATATACAGATTTGGTAAACACAAAGAGAAGAGAAACAGATTTAAAAAAAATGAAAGGGACCAAGAGCAAACTGGGCAAGTCAGTATGATATAGCCCACAGAGTTGATGAGGAGCCCTGGAAACTGAGATGGAAAAAGACCCCACAGATAGGAAGGGCCAAGGTCCAGAACACACAAGAAAAAGGAAAGTAAATGGTCTCTGCCCAGATGAGAAGGACGTCCAACCTCGTCAATAATCAGAACAATACAGGTTTAAAGTCACCCTGAGATGCCACTGCTCACTGCCAACTAGCAAGACCTGCACCTGTTACCCACAGACACGGGAACAGCAGGCCGCCCTGCAGGGCAGAGGGAGTACCACATGGGTACGATCTGAAGGGAGCCTGGCACTATCTGATGCATGCAAAGGTGCTCCTGGGCGTGCTGTGGCTAAAGCACTGGGCTGCTAACTAAAAGGTCAGCAGGTTTGAACCCACCAGCCGCTCCACGGGAGAAAGATGAGGCAGTCTGTTTCCATATACATGACAGCCTTGGAAACCCGATAGGGCAGTTCTACTCTGCCCCCTAGCAGTGCTATGAGTTGGAATCGAGTCAACGGCAGTGAGTTGGGTTTGGGCTTTGCTTTGGTAAAGATTGACAGCCTTGGAGACCCTCTGGGGCAGTGGGCAGTTCTACTCTGTCCTCCAGGGGCACTGTGAGTCGGAATCGACTGGAGAGCAGTGGGAGACACATGGAGAATGAGAATTCGACCACTGAGCCACCGTGTCTCTGCACAGGCTAACCAGAGACGCTGTGGGTTTGGTTCCAGACCACTGTGATAAAGCAAGCTGCATGAAGTTTATGGTTTTCTGGTGCATATCAAAGTTGTGTTTCTGCTACACTGTAGTCTATTAACTGTGCAACAGCGTGATGAAAATGTTTGAAGTGTTGTGAGAATGACCAAATGTGACACAGAGACACAATGTGAGCACCTGCTGCTGGGAAAGTGGCACCCATAGACCTACTCAATTCAGGGTCGACATAAACCTTCCATTTGTAAAAAGTGCAGTATCTGCAAAGTGCAAAAAAGCTGAGCACAATAAAACGAGGTCTGCCTGAGTTACCTGCCCGAGCAGAGGAGAGTGCTGACAAACTCAGATCCCCGGCGCTGGCTCCCACTGCCTAATCTCCAAATGGGAGTTCCAGGGGTCTATTTGAAATTGGGGTGGGGCATGACAGTAGAGGACTACATGGCTTCCAGTTGAAAACTGACAACACTGATTTTGGCATCTGTCTAAAACCCACGGCCACTGAGTCGATTCCAACTCACAGTGACCCTGTAAGACAATGAACTGTCCATAGGGTTTCCAAGGCTGTAAATCTTTACGGAAGCAGACTGCCTTGTCTTTTTCCCACAGAGCGAGCGGCTGGTGGGTTCAAAGCACCAACCTTTTGGTTAACAGCTGAATGCTTTAACCACTGCACTACCAGGCTCCTTGGAATCTGTCCAGGTGCACGCAAATCAGATGCAGCTTCCAGAGAGGCGGAGACTCAGCTTTGGAGCACGAGATTGAACCCTTGTTCAGAGAGAAGCCTGTCACTAGAGTATAAATGCCATTTAAGATCACACAGCGATCTTAGTCAACTGCTGCCTGCCCATCAATACGCAAACTGTTGTCCCTCCAAACAGCTGCAGCACAGGCCCCGTGGTGACCTCAGGGCCGTCTCCTCCTGGCTCTACCCTACTCTGACCACGTTCCCTCTTTCTATACCATTGTAGAAGCAGAAATACCGGGAGACAACGTTAGAGTGAAGCATGTGAGCAGGAACTGTGCACTGTCGGTTAACACCGAGGTTATCCCTAGTTAGCCGTAGCCACGTGTCTGGGAGAGGTGCTTTTTGTCTTTGCAATTACAAATCAGCTTTAAGATCAGATGAGTATTTTCAAGATGTGTTTCCTTAAGACTCTCTGGTACAAGACACAGTAGCTCCAGCCCTCGGCCAGGATCAGAGACAGCATCAGGCATCCCTGTGTGTCAGGGTTTACGGAAAGGAATCAAAATGGATGTTTCCAGCTTTCTCAGAAATTAGTATTCTGAGGTTTACAAAGCAAGAACTGACTGGATCAGCAGTTGGCGAACTGTACCCAGCTTGCATTGTTTTGACTCAAATTCAAATTTGGTTGCTTCA